AGACTTTATTTATACTAATTGTGTGAAGTTTAAAATCTAATTGAACTGTTTGTTTATCCAGACGGGTAATTACGTCTCTGCAGAGCATACATCAAAATGGTGGCGTTTTACTGCCGCGTCGGGACGCGCCCGCGGCACTTTGAAGACGAGAAGCGCCATCACGTCCATATGTTTCCTCGAATTAACGTCTGTTTTCAACGAAGAAAACGGCCATCGTAAAACACATAGATCACTGCATAAAAGTTTAATAACTGTTTGTTTGTAATAAAGTTCGGACGTCGGCTGCCAGACACAGGGATATTTATTTGGAAGTGCAGAGGACGTGCTTTATTAACAAGCAAGAAAATCGAGACTGATTTTTTCGTTTAAATCTGCTTTTGTTAATGTGCTTTTTAAAAAAGCGCAGTCTCTGAGACTCCGAACAATTTTTAGTCTTCGATCAATATTCAATTGTAGGCACATTTGCCTTTGCCGCGTCAGATGCAATTTTAGTAAAAAAATTCAATTTTAAATAACTTTGGATTCAAGCTAGCGTATGAATTTTGTAATAAAAAATTTCTACTATGATTAGCATCTTTCATTTTTCATAGATTTGAATAACCAATCCCGTCTTCTAGCCTATATTATATTAAAATTTAAACATCTTATTTAAATCTAATTTATATAACATACTATTATTTGGTATAGAAGAACTTTAATAATATTAATAAAGCAAGGTACTCGTGCGCTTAAAGAGTGCGAGGAATAAAATGAATAGTGAGCGTGCCACGTGCGGGATAATCCTTGGTAATTGCCGGTACTCCCGGATCATCCCGGGGATCATCAGGTGCTTATACGCAACGCTAAAAACACCCTCACCTAACGAATAATTTATACATATAGTATTGTTAACATTTCAAATAATTCTTGAAAGAATAGTTACTTGGAAGAATAAGTAATTATTTGGAAAAAAAACTGGATAAAAGTAAATTTCTTATACAAAGTGGAAACGAGCGAGGGACCATTCTGTAGGTAATCGAAATACAAACAATTAGCTTTATCTATGTATCCCTTTCCTCGCTAAATAGATTTCACATTCCACTTCTTTCTTGATGGAAAAGACTAAGAAGGGAAAAAAGGCTAGAAATGATTTCGACTGGTTTTAACTTAACACAAGTAACCCCGACAGCATCAACTAACCCCGGGTGAGATATAGTTCGACAAAGATCTTGTGGCATTCGGAAACGGAAAATATGTGAATCAACAATGTCATCTTGGTCAGCATCACATTTTCACCCATGACGAAGTGGCATTTGCCCAATTTAATGTTGCCATTTTTGTAATTCCGATATTCATAATTTGGATTGTGACGCCCTCATGACAGAGTTGGTAATTTTTAGTCAACAAGCAAACTATTCCTTTATAATATTTTTTAATCTGTCGTTTTACATGATCTATAGTAGCACAAAATGTCGTAAATATTGTTATTTGTCTTTGTCAAACGTTAGTTGCTTGTATTTTTACCACAATCTGCTTTTTTAACAAGTTATTTAACATAAATGAACGACGTAGTAAATAGTAGCGAAATGAAGGAATCGTACTCTATATACCACCAAGAATACATCATAATGGCTGAATAGTGAGTTAACATACATTCTCTCATTCTGATGAAAATGCTTTAGTAGCTCCACAATATTACTTTGTATTATTTGTAAAATAATCACAAGCTTATTAATAATTTTATTCACATATAGATAATAAAGCTCCAAGCTGCCAATGATCAGGCTTTACCCCCCCTTTAATAATGGGTCTTTCATCCAGCTGTTTAATGAGACCAGCTAATGATGTTGGTTGGGATTTTAATGTTTTTTTAAAATACATATTTTTAAATTAATTATTGTTTCAGTCGCATGTTACAAACGGAAAACCTACAAGGGATTTATGTTATTCCATCATATGAAAATTCACTATGTGAGTATCTATTACTTCAGAACCCTATATAATACCAAACATTAATAATTATCATTTTTACAACCAGACCAATAAGTTGTGAATATTAAACTTATTATAGTTTAAACTAAACATCAATGCTTTTCTTATTAACTTCTATTTTCAGATATTGAAGGGTGGTATAAAAAATTGTTGTTCAAAATTATTTTAAATAAACAATTTTATCTAAAAAATTTACCAAAATGTATCTAGAAACCTATTTGTACACTAATCTATTTTAATACATAGGTTATGTATTCATCAATGATTTATTTCTTGTAGTATGGTTTGGAGTGATATTTGTAAGATCTGGTGTATATGAAGGTGGAGTGTTTCGTTTCACTCTAACATTGCCTGAAAAATTTCCTAATGACAGTGTTCCTGTAAGTAAATACCGAATTTCTCTTCTACTGACAATCAAAAAGTTGCACAAATTGTTATATTTAAGTAATATGTATTCTGTTTCAAGGTTGTCACATTTACATCAAAACTGTATCACCCTGCAGTAAATGCAAATACTGGAGTTCTGAATTTAAATGAAGTATTCCCTCAATGGGATAGAAAGCAACATCATATTTGGCAAATTTTAAAATATTTACACTTAATATTTAACAACTTGAATTTTAAATCATCAGCGAATGTTGATGCATCAGTTGCGTAAGTACCCATTTTATGCATATCACTTATTTGGGGTTAGAATTAGAAACCTTATCAGCACTCAAGTTCATTTATAGTAGAAATTGTTGAAAAAAACAATCTAGATACATAGCTTTTTTGGGTAATTGTCAACTTGGTTTAGTTGCTAAGTATCAAAATAGTTGAATTTTATATATTTTTCCTAGATGTGTTTCTGAGACTCTTAATCTGCTCTTATTTTTGTTTATCCACATAGATATTTTATTTGTCCTTGATGTAAAATAACAGAAATATTTGTGCAGATTTAAGAATAACCGAAAAGTTTTCCTGGAGAAAGTGAAGGAATGTGTAATGTCCAGTATTGATCATATTTATGATGACCCTCCCGTTGATGACAAACATTACATAACCTTCAAGCCGTATGATCCTGAACTTCATGAAACTGTTACAAATGACATGCTTAAATTATCAAAAACTAAAACTAATGAGGGGACACATGGAATATCCTGGGTACAGCCTGGTTCCTTTCAATCATTTTCCAAAGAAGAAACTACATGATATTTCCATATTTTTATTCAAAACTAATAAATCAATCTTTTATCCTCACTTTAGCCATTACAATACCTGTGATAAAATATGACAAAAATATATTTTAATAAATAACAAATATATTAACTGAGAGTATTATGCATTTTGCTTACAAATTAATGTTTAGCTCATTTTTTAATGTAATAGAGGTTAAGTTGATAACTAATTCTATTCAATAATTGTTTTGTTTGCACAAGAATGTATTATCATGTTGTGTATGGATATATTATAAACTATGTGTTAATATTGTTACTATGTAGATATTATATTAACTATTTACATTAATCTGGAGTTGCTCTTAATTTTATCCTAAACCTATTAACATTTTCTTGAAGCCAATTCTGATCTAGCTTATAATTATTGTCTTGCCATACAAAATGTGTTGGTGGATTTGATTCTCCATTTCCAAATTCAAAATATTTACTAAGTTCTATTGCAAGTTTAGATCTCACTAAGCCAACACCACCATATTTTGCATCAGCTGGGTGATACACTCTCCCAGTTTCTGGTAGCATAAATATTTTGTCAGGCATAAATTTTACTTTCAAATGATCACCTACATATCCATAAGTAAGAAAATGGTCACTGCAAGTATCATTTGTAATAATATGTGTGTAAACAATGGGAACATCATCACATCTTATAAAATTTCTCTCCCTCCCGCATAAAGATATGAAAGGAAAGTCATTTTCATATCTACCGCTATTATTTAATCTAATACGCTTAAAAAAGAATTCTAAAAACTTCTTCTCTTTAAAGCATGATGTGAAATTCTTCATTTTAGAGTCATCTAAAAATAGCTGAAATAAATAAAAACATGTTGATCAAAGATTTTATATCATCAAATGGACAAAGGTCAATCCCTTACCATTCCTTGATGATCTATATAATAAAAATATTCTCTAATTTTCGGTTCGGGTTCTTGTCCTTGAATATACGCAATTGTACGTCGTAGGATAAAACGATAGGAAAATTTAGATAATACACAATGAAATGCGTTTAGTCGCATTCTATCAGTTATTTACGTTGGAATGGGCTGTAAATAAAGAATTAATAAACGAAATGAAATGTCCCAAAAATGACCTTACAGCAGCTGAATTCAAATCATAACAAAGAAATGTCAATGTCATTTAACACGTCGATCGTCGATAAACAAAAACAAAAAAATCGTACGAAATCATATACTATCGTTTAATTAAGAGGTTCTGAAAGTTAACATAATTTGAAGACTGCTGGTCGAACTTATCTTTTGACTAATAGTTATTTAGCTGTAGAAACCTATATAGCCTAATAATAAATAAATAAAGTGCTTACAAAGTTTTGTTAGTAATAAAAAGACGTATATGGAGTTTGTTAAAATTATAAAGCAATTTTAAAAGGTTTTAATGTATTTAAGATTTCATTATTATTTCTTGATCCAAAATTAAATTAAAACTGGCTTTATGTTTAACTTACTTAATACTTTTTTTTTAAAAGTAAACCGCATAGAACCGTAGAAAATAAAAAAATATGATCTTGACGTTCTTGACAGTTTGATGACAGATTTACAGACAGCATACCAACTGGAAACCAACACAAAGATTTTTTTAATAAGATTAATAAATTATAACAATTTATATATGTAAACGCTCTAAGTTAAAATTACTTTTGTGATATTCATATAAAATTTATAGTATTTGTCATAGCCATAATCCGAGACTTTTTAGAACTTTTGGTATTTCAATAACACGTCTAGTATAGTTCTCTTTATATGGAATGTTTTAAACAAGAATGGATACCTTACGAAGATCATGGAAACTTCGTACGTATAGTTTAAAAGAATCGTTTTCCGCGAATTGAAAATATGACCTCTAAAGTTTGTATAAAATTTCCAGAAGAGTTCGTCGCTCACAAGGCAAATGTCAATTGTTTGGCAATGGGACACAAATCAAATCAAGTTTTAGCAACTGGTGGAGATGACAAAAAAGTTAATCTTTGGGCTATTGGAAGACAAAGCTGTTTGATGGTTGGTTATGATTTATTCAAGAATAATAAAACTATTTTATTCTATAATAATTTATACAGACAACTTCAGTCTTATTATCAGTGATTTAAAAAAAAACATACATACCTTATATCTTAAAGGCTTTAATGTTGAATACTGAGGCTTCTCTTATGTTTCCTCACATATTAAGTTTTAAAGTGAGCTGTAGTTACATTATTTAATTAGTGTGCCTCTTATTTAAGATGTATTGAACAAAATAAGATACACATCTTACCAGGTAACATACACATGTTACCTGGTAAGTACCTGTACCAATTAAACTATATGAATCTACCCACAATTTTAAAATAAATTTGTATGTAAATGTGATGTATTAATTTTAGAGTTTAAGTGGTCACACAACACCAGTGGAATGTGTTTGCTTCGGTCATTCAGAAGATTTAGTCTGTGCTGGGTCACAAACAGGCGCCTTGAAAATATGGGATCTTGAAGCAGCAAAACTTATAAGAACTTTCACAGGTCATAAGGGAGCTATTAAATGTATGGACTTTCATCCATATGGAGATTATTTGACTACAGGCTCCTGTGATAGTAATATAAAATTATGGGATACAAGGAAGAGAGGATGTATTGTAACATATTCAAGCCATCGTCTTGCTGTGAATAGTCTTCAATTCAGCCCTGATGGTCAATGGATTGCATCTGCTTGTGAAGATGGTAATAACTCCCAAATGTTAAATATTTCAATAAAAAAAGTTACAATCTGGTTGTTAATTTTACACATATAGTTTTTCTAAGGATAAACATTTTTTTTTGTATTTATAATGATTATATTTCTTTAAGGACTTGTGAAAGTATGGGATGTGCGTGTGGGCAAAGTTCTACAAGAGTTTGTTGAACACACTTCACCAGTAACATGTGTCAAGTTCCATCCACATGAGTTTCTATTGGCCAGTTGTGGTAGTGATAAGACTGTAAATTTTTGGGACATGGAAAAATTTCAATTGGTATCCAAATTTGAAAAAGACAATACTTCAATTAGGTAAATTATACGATTTTATTTGTATTTTATTATGTATCTGCTGTTGAGGTGAACACACAAGGTCATTTATTTTTCTTTTTTACATTTTAGACATATGACATTTAGTGATGACGGCACAACCTTATTGGGTTGTGGCAATGATGGCTTGCATGTCATAGGCTGGGAGCCTGCTCGAGTGCTGGATACAGTGTCTGGTCACTGGGGACAAATACATGACATGACTGTTGCTCAAACACAACTCGTAAGTTAGAATGTATGGTAATAATTATTTCTTTGGCAAGAGTAAAATAGACACTTAGAAAATTTAATCTCTTTACTGTGTGGTCTATTGATTGATTTCTTTTTACTGAAGTTATTTCAAATTTAACATCAAATGACATTGAAATGACACAAATTCAAATAAATTCAAAAAAGGTTTTAATGAAAATATTAGAAAGTTTATTCACATTTCAGATAGCAGGATCATTCCATGCAACATATGTCGTTCTATCAGTGGTTGATCTGAACAAAGTGCATCCATTTGGTGGACCGCCTCCCAGTGTTCCCACTGTGGTCAGAGATTTATCACCTTTTCAAAAGGGACATTCTGTTCGTAAAAGCTTTTCTAAGGAAAAACCACCTAAAGAAGGTATAATATTACATCTCAATTTTACCTACATTAATTACTATTAAAATGCTGCATTTATTAAAATATATGTAATTTTAGTTATGCACAGACCAACGCTACTGGATGAGAAAACTGCTGAAGAGTCAGCATCAGGCACAGAAGCGGACGAGGACTCAGGTGCCGTTATATCAAATATTAATGATTACACTGAAATATTCCGACCCTCCAGGGCATGTGAGTAGATTAGAACAATTGTTCCTAGCAAATTTATAATGCTTGCTGTATAAATATAAATTTTTAACAATATTGGATAAACACTTGCTCAAATAATGCTTGAACAATTTAACCAAATAAACTTTATATGCATGAAAATTCTACTAATTACATAACAGACATTGTATACTAATGTTTTTTGCATTTGAATGATTCAGACCAAATATTTTGTGTATCTGTGGTGTTAAACAAATTGAAATTTTGTTTTCAGTAACACGAACACCTCCCCCTGCGACCAGTTTATCATCTGATGATTATCCAGAACCGAGTAAGACATTTTTTAACAATCTATGTCTTTAGACTCTGAGAGTGTTTTATGCAATTATAAATAATACTATAATTTAGGTAATTATTGTTGAATGATTTGTAACAGTGCCGGATACGTCTCGTAAACTGGAGTCGACGATGAGCACGTCATTACGTGACCTGATGCTGGACGAGCCGGCGCCTGCGCATGTTCCGCATGCCCCGCACCCCGCGCCAGCGCGTCCGCCCCCCCAGCCCTCGCCTCCACAGCGCCAGCGTGCAGAGTACTCCCGCATACCCACACCAAAGGAACACTATGCAGCACTAGAAAAGAAATCTGAAGTATTTAACAGTAAGTAACATTATTCTTAACTTAATTTCAGCGGCTTGCCTTATTCCAATGACCTGTGGATGGATATATAAAATCTGTAATTCGTAAAGCAATTCGAACTATTTGATATGTATTCAAATGCTTGCATGGATATTCAATATCTATTAACAGAATTGTAATACAAAAATCACTTGCTTCTTTAGCATTTCTTAGTTAAAGGAGCAAGTGTTGTTTGGCTATTGAGTCTTCGGCGCGCTGCGCAGTGCGCTCTCCCCGCACCCCGCTACATCAAAAATGGTATTCTGCGCAGCGACTCGCGCGAGGTTAAAAACTACATGAAAACGTTAACATTATTTTTAGCTAGTCGGAACCACGATTACATTTGCCGTCGCCTCATTGTTCATCATCAAATCCTTAAATAAAGACTATTTTTGTCTCGCTACAAGAGTTGCTTAATGTAAATAATTACTGGAATTCACTTCATTACCATATCTACGACATATTTTCATAACAATATTGGTTTTATAATTTGGTTAGTAGTTGTTGAGGGTAATGGAGCAATTATATTTATTTCTTTTAGTTTCCTACTTCATTCTTAAATTTTCTTTTGCCTTTCCAAAAAGAAATGCGAATTTTTGTTATCATTTAAAGTTATTCATATGACTTGTTTGTTCAGCAGGGGCATTGGATAACAGTAAAGATGACAACTTTTGTATGAGTAGGAAAACATCTACGGCCAATGAATTTGTTGCCCATTCCCTAACAGCGTGCTCACTAAACCGACATAACTCATACAAAGAAACCAAAACAACTACTGAGATGTGTAAGTCTAGATTTACACATTTTGATACTAGTTGTTTCATTTTTTTAAATTTATTATTGGCACTCATTTAAATTTATAAGTCTTAATAAAATGCATAATATAAAGTTTATTTTGTTGCACATTGTAAACTTTAGGGGTTAGATTAAAATTAGAGATATTTTTATATCTTAAAGTTAACTTGATTTAAGTTATATTATAAAAAATACGAAATATTTTATTACCGTACCGACAATACCATTTTAGGTGGCAACACTCTCCGACAGAGTACTAGTGAGGTGTCACTGGGCCCGCCGTCCCTAGGACCCAGATCCTTATCCTTCAGCAGATCTCCAAATCCAAATACACGGTAATTACTCTATTATTTAATTCGGTATCTTTTATGTATATATTTATTGTCCTACTAATATTTGCCAATTATAACATTTTATGTTTTCAGACGAAGGGTCGATAGTGTAAGTCGCGAGCCCGCTCCGCCGCCTCGAAACGAAGACCCCGAGCGGGAGCCGGAGCCCGAATTCATTCCCTATGCTACTGACAGACCTGTTGGCCTCGATCTTGATGAATTTCTACCAGTAAGTATATTGACCTATATATTTAATTTTGTGTTACACTCACCAGAGAAGGTTTAGGAAATTTCAACATCCAATTTTTCCGTAAGACTCGATACTGAATGGTACAAAAATATTAGAACCTCCTCCCCTTAAAAAAAAGGTTGTAGGTAAGTTGTAGGCATTTATTGTATGTGTATTTGCGTTGTGTATAGCGGGGACTGGCAGCGTGCCTGGGGCGAGGCGGTGCGCGCGGCGGTGGAGCTCAGCCCAGCGAGCAGGAGGTGCTCGGAGTCATGATGCGAGGACATGATTCCATGATGGCCGTGCTTGTCGCTAGGCAGCGAGCATTGCAGGTACACACCATCATCATAATTATCAGCTCACTGTACATCCCCACCAAGGAGCTCGAAGCCTACCCTAAGTTTGTTGTGACTAGGCCTTAGTCAACCATGCTGGCCCAGTGCTGGAAGAAATTCGAAGATATGCGTGAAATCTTTGAATTTCTTTTCAGATATGTGCAAGTTGCATCGCGATGTTTTCCTTCACTGTAAAAAAGTCGTTAAACAAACATATACGTTTTTTATTAAAACCAATTTTAATTGGAAGTTTGATGGAATGCAACTGTTTAAATATTTGTTGACGTAATTTTATGGTTTTCTTTCAGATATTCCACTCTGTCAGAGTAAATAAAAGTCTGAAAGCAGCTTTAGAATCGGTTATAGCTTTAGAGGACACATCAGTCATTCTGGATATACTCAATGTGATGGCACATAAACCGTAAGCATCCCATATATCAAAACTTGATTAATAATTTAATGTGACTCCTGTTATTAAATAGTTCATATTTCTTTAGATCCTTATGGAATTTGGACATTTGTTTGCTGATGTTGCCTAAAATTTATGACTTGCTGCAAAGCAAATATGAATCGTAAGTATTTTCATGACACATTGTTTCTACCCAATTTGTTTGTAACTGGCTACATTTGCTTTTTTACTTTTACAATAACTTACGACTGTCAGATATATTAACACGATTTTGTATGGACAAAAATTAAATTTAACCTAAAACGTTTGCGTTGATTAAACAAAAATCCATTTTTTAAAGTCTGTCTATGTGTCTGTATTTAATATAATATTTTTTTATATGCAAGGTACATGCAATGCGGTTGCAACGCGTTACGTTTAATAGTGCGTAACTTTTCGTCTGTGGTGCGCGCGAACGTGAGCGCTCCGGTGCGCACGCTGGGCGTGGACATCCCGCGCGAGGAGCGATACGCCAAGTGCGCGCAGATACACCGCCTGCTGCTCGACGTGCGAGCATTCCTGCTCAAGCGGCAGACGTTGCAGGGTCGTTTAGGTGCCGCCTTCAGGGACCTTCACACTCTCATGCAGCAAGGACTTGACTAGCCATGTACAAGCTCTGAACCGGTTCAAAAGTTCAGCTCATAATTTGAACTGTTGAGCTGCAGTTCAATAACTAAATTGGCAGCTCACAGCTCCCTACTATGCGAATCGACGAGCCGCAAGCTGCCCATTAACTAGAAGTTCGTAATTCAATAAGCAAATCATAACTCTATGCAGGAACAAATTGAGCTGAGCTGGGATCCGGTTTACTGATCTGCAAGTCATACATCTTAGTTGAGTTTCCCATGTCTAGACTCTACTGATAATCTTCTAAAACACTATTAGCAGTATTTTAATATCTACTAATTTTTAACGATTCCTAATACTTTTAATTTATTTGTTAAACTTAATTTGGCAGTAATCATTCATTTATAATGCTCGTAATCCAGGGGGTGTTAGTATGAATTACAGGATTTATTACTGGCTTGATCCTAACACCTCGCGTTTCTTATACATCCATATCATGTAGGTATGCAAGCTTCTCTGTTACTAGTATTTCTTATTTCTTCAAAATTTCACTAATGTCATTGATAAAACTTTTTCTAGGACACCTGCAAACACTGCCATTCAGTTTCACAAAATAGATTTATCTGTTATTCTATGTTTATACAAAAAAATTGTATAAATGTGATGACACTATATATAGACTTTGGTAAAAAAAACAATGATGTATTTCAAATTTATAGTTTGATACTTACCAATATATTGTTTTTTACAAATTTTATATACAAAATATCATATAATAGAAGTATGCTAAACCTTATGTGGAGCGTGTAACATAAAACTAACCAATGTAAGTTCAACATTCATTAGACACATATAAAAAAGCTTAATTTTACTTCTATTTATTTTTTAAGTGTTCAATAAATATTGCATAACTGAAATTCATAAAATTGTATTTAAAAATTGAAAAAGCTATTGAAGATCTCAATAACAAGACCAAGTTTTGGGTCCAAAACTATTGTATGTCCTAAGTTGGAATAAATATAAATTGTGACTGGCAATATTGTGTTGTTTGTGTACTTTTTGTGAATTAATATTGAATATTTATATGTTTTGTTTTGATACAAAAGTTTCAATAAAGTACTTTTCTCTTTGTTTTTTGAAATCTCATATATTATAATTTATTCATCAATATATTTTATCTGACAATGTAAAACAAGTGCTACTTGACAAACTCGGCAACTCAGAGTTTGCCTATAAAGCATCATCAAATTTGACAACTTATTCAATCATTTAAAATTAATGAAATAATGGAAATCTTTAATCAACTGACGAATATTTATATAATATGAAAATCTAACAGAAATTTTAACAGAATAGATCTGATCAGCGTAATGATTGTTAGGTCATCATTTTTGTTGTAAAATTATTACTGATATATTGCTAATAACATAATAAAAGCTCATGGTTAACATGATTAAATATAAATGAAGGCCTCTTGAAGGCTACACATTCAATGCTACCAACTGGCCTGTCAAGTTCACTTACACAGTGAAAATCATAGTAGCATGGAACATGTTAAGATTAGGCTTTAATGAGT